AGGTGACCAGGGGTTAGTATAATAAATAAGTGATAGGAACTGGTTAAGTCAGCTACGATGATAAAGGCTTTATGCAACAAAGTTATTAATGACTATTCAAAATCTAACTTATGGAAAAAATAGATAGAGGGCAAAATAGGATTATGAAAGTATTAAATAAATAGAAATGGTGAAAATAAATTAACCGAATTTAGAGACTGCATAATGAATAATCCAAGGGTAATCGATTAACCTGCTGGGCATGTCATAGAATATGAATTATGTCTAGTGGAAATAAAAATGAAAATTCTAGATCACTTTAAGGTATGAAAAAAGATTTTTAATTTTCTTCTAGCGATAATCTGCAATAAAGCAGTTAAATTTTCAAATTGGTGCATATTAATTTTTAAAATGACTGGAACAGTGATGTAAGGATACGATAGAGATATAATTTGTATCAACTTCTCAAAAAATGACCACTCGTCTTTTGCTTTTTTTCTGCACGATTAAATTTATCTCAAATTATGGCAATCACATTACAAAATAATGCACAGATTTAAAGCGATTAAATAAGACAGCTTACCGGATAGGTTTTATCACCATAAAAGTATATATTTTGATAATCTTTTAAAAACTTGAGACAAAACGATTTGTTCCATCCTGTTGGGAATACATCTATACTTATTTGGCCCCCTAAAAAGATGAATCTGAAGGAAAATGTTGACATACCTATGGAAAATTGAAGAGTTTCCATGCCAAATTCTGATCTCAGGGATTCAACAAGCTTTTTCCTTACTTCATGAATCTAATTAATATGACAAGTTGAGCGTCCATAACAAATTAATACCTTATCATAGGCTTCAAACTCGTCCCTTTCAACTTGCGTGCAGTTCCTTCCGATCGGTGATAAGTTAAGCATTCCATTTCTATACTCAATAAATGTCCCACGCTTCAGAGGCAAATTAATTTTTGACATATACGCCAGGCAAAAATTTATGAATTTTTGCAAATATTCTTCCCCCAAATACTTAGAGATGTTCTAAGAGTTAAGTAACAATTTTTCGACAAACATTAAGTTCTAATAGCTTTCCTTTACGATAAGCAACCAAGCCATTCTCGCAAAAAACATATTCGAACATGTTAAGTACTTCCTCGCCCCGCATCTGCTCCGAGATTTTCGAATAATCTGAGCCACCCACAATGCCCATTGGCATTTTAGTTGACAAGCCTTTCAAAAATGTTAAAACGTCTTCCTTTATAACCTAAATATGTGTAAAATGTATAATACTAGCCTTTCTTGGCTCAGTAAGAGTGCCATCAACATCGAACAATAATATGGAGCTAGACATGCGAAGGGATATATTCGAGCAGCGCGCATAAGCGAAAGCTGACGTAACACCAGGCAGAGCAAGCAACATTAAACCGAATTAATAAAAAGCATATAGAGCAACAAGCAACCTAACTCTTCTAAAGGTTTTTAATTTAATTTAAGAGTTTCTTTACAAAAACCAAAATAAATTAATGCAGCTCTTTTGGTTACTATTTTGAGATAATTATGCAAAATAAGGTAGAAAACTACGGCAAAACGTGGATCATACAGTTGAATAATTAAGTGTGACTTTATGTGCACAGACTAGGCCATATTTTGAAATAGCAAGTTATCCTATTTCGTTTTATTCGTTAGATCCCGAAGTCTATTCAATATTTCTAGTAAAAGCTGCATTCACTGATGAAATTAATATTTCGCATTTAATAATTTGCAGGGAGAAGTTTGGTTAAGTAATGTCATTTTTCATATGCCTAGGAAATAAGCTGACCCGTTTCGTATTCTGCATACCATAATTAATAAGGTGGTGGAAATAAGCTATGCTCAGTTAGTGGATATGTTTACTTAAGGAACGTGCATTTGGGATAAGCGTACTAAATAATAGACTCAGCCAATTAAAGAAAAAATAACAAATTATTTTAGCTTCAATTAGATGATAATTAAGGAACTTTCTATCCATAACCGTCTGAAATACATCATCTTTTTTGTATGAGGCCATACATAGGGTTCGTAACTATTATGCATGCAGAGACTTTTTTAAGCCGTAAGCCTCCTCTGTACGCTGAAAGCAATTTTTCTGAAGGACATTATATTTGTCCAATTATATAAATTAGGCCCAATCTCAGCTTGGTTTTTATGCCAGGATGAAACTTTCACCAAAGATTTTTC